AAATCTACTAGACTTAATAAATGAATTTGGCAAAGTAGCAGGATACAAAATTAACGTCAAGAAATCGACGGCATTTTTATACACCAATGATAAACTCACAGAAAGAGAAACTGAAAAAACAATCCTATTTACCATCGTGGCAAAAAAAATTAAGATACCTAGGAATAAACTTAACCAAAGAAGTAAAGGACCTATTTGCAGAAAAATACAGGACATTGAAAAAAGAAATAGAGAAAGATAAAAGAGTGGAAGCACATATCTTGTTCATAGATTGGAAGAATTAACATCATTAAAATGTGCATACTACCCAAAGCAATCTATAGATTCAATGCAATCCCCATCAAAATACCAACAACATATTTCACAGAACTAAAACAAATACTTCAAAAGTTCATATGGAAGCAAAAAAGACCCCAAATAGCCACAGCAATCTTGAGAAAGAAGGACAAATGGGTGGGATCACAATACCGGATATCAAGTTATACTACAAAGCCACTATAATCATGACAGCCTGGTACTGGCACAAGAACAGGCATGTAGACCAGTGGAACAGAACAGAGAACCCAGAAATTGACCCAAGACATGATGCTCAATTAATATTTGACAAAGGTGGCAAGAGCATACAGTGGAGTAAAGACAGCCTCTTTAATAAATGGTGTTGGGAAAATTGGACAGCTACATGCAAAAAAAATGAAACTAGACCATCAACTTACACCATACAAGAATAAACTCAAAATGGATAAAAGACTTAAATGTGACGCGTGAATCCATAAAAATCCTAGAAGAAAATGTAGGCAACAAAATTTCAGATATTATACGCAGCAGAATTTTCACTAATACATCACCTAAGGCAACAGAAACACAGGAAAAAATGAACACATGGGACTACATCAAACTCAAAAGTTTCTGCACAGCAAAAGAAACAATCATCAAAATGGAAAGGTAACCCCCTATATGGGAAAGCATAATTGCCAGTGATGTATCAGATAAGGGGTTAATTTCCAAAATATATAGAGTACTCATACAACTCAACAAAAGGAATACAAAGAACCCAATTAAGAAATGGCAGAGGAGCTAAATAGACACCTCTCCAAACAAGACATACAAATTGCCAAGAGACATATGAAGAAATGCTCAACACCACTAATCATCAGAGATACGCAAATTAAAACAACAATGAAGTTATCACCTCACACCTGTCAGAATAGCCGCCATCAACAAATGATGAAACAACAAGTGTAGGCGAGGGTGTGGAGAAAGGGGGACTCTAGTACACTGCTGGTGGGAGTGCAGACTGGTGCAGCCACTATGGAAAACAATATGGTGCTACCTCAACAAAATAAAAATTGAGCCCTGGCCGGTTTGGCTCAGCGGTTGGACCAGAGAGTCCTGGGTTCGGTTTCCGCTAGGGGCACGTAGAAAAAAAAATTAAAAATGAACTGCCATTTGATGCAGTGATCCCACTTCTAGGAATATATCCTAAGAAGCCTGAAACACCAATCAGGAAGAATATATGTACCCCCATGTTCATAGCAGCACTATTTACAATAGCTAAGATCTGAACAGCCCAAGTGTCCATCAGTACACAAGTGGATAAAAAAGCGGTGGTACATATACACAATGGAGTACTATGCAGCTGTACGAAAGAAAGATCTCTTATCCTTTGAGACAACATGGAGGGACCTGGAAAGTAGTTATCCTAAGTGAAACAAGCCAAGCAGAAAAAACAAATACAACGTGATCTCACTTATTTGTGGAATACAATGAACATAACAGTCTGAGGAATAGAGTAGACCCAGAGATGTGGAAGTAGGTTACAGACTGACAACCCTCAGAAGATGGGGTTGTGGGGGGAGGGAAGAGATAAACCACAGAACTTATATGCATGTATGCCTAACCAATGGACATGGACAACAAACCGGGGATTGGGTTGGGGGGATGGGGAGGAGGGTGTCAATGGGGGTAAAAAAAGGAGAAACATCTGTAACAAAAATAAAATAACAAACAAACAAACAAAACAGTGGAAAAAATATCCTTGGGTAAGGATTAATAACAAAAACAAACAAACATAAAAACCCTTGTTTCCCTTTTTTCCCCTTCAGTCTTAGCACTTGGGGATGGTAAATGTGGGTGGGCTTTCAACGGCTTCTACAGCTGTATTTCTGGTTTGCAAAGATTTGGAAGATAAGAACAATGCTCTCAAAAGTGTAATTTAAGTAACTTCATAGGTTGATCTATCTGTCTAACTACGTCTTCCTAATTTGCACTTTTTCCTCTGGGTACATAGTTCTATTTTAGCTTGAGGAGTGTACTGGCATGTCTACAATCCCATAATTGATGATTGGTAAATTATTGTCCTGACTTGTTTATAGTTTGATAATTGATGATTGGGAAAGTCACTGTGTGCTCTCTAGCCAAACCTGTTTTGTAAAGACCCCCTGAAATTGTTGGGAGCCGGTTACATGTCTGACAGAGTTCCTGGAGCCTTCGAGGTCTTGAGTCAGAGACTCAACCTCCCCCATAATCTCAAGGAATCAGGATTGCATTGTGTTTGTGCAGTTCAGGGCTAAGTGTGACCCAATGTACCTTGAAATGCTTGGGTGCACCTGGGTTTTCCTGGGTGTGCCTGGGTGTTCCTGTTATTCGCAAGGCAAAGTAGTTCTATACAGCATTGTTGTAGCCCTGGGCATTCTATCAAGAAGATCCTATTTTCTTATATTATTAAACTTTTGCTGTAAGGTATAAAAGGCATGTAATAAAGCACGTCGGGGCTGATTCCGAAGACTGTCACAGGGGTGTTCGGAATCAGACGCTGGCCGGCCAATAAACGGCTCTTATTTGGACTTCAATTCTCTAGTGGTCTTTCTTTAACTCTGTTGCGCCACAACAGGAGGAGGCCCCAAAACTCCACATACATGAGAAGTTCAGGGACAGAAAGTTAAAATGAGGTATATAGGGCATACGGAGCTACGGATGAGGTAAGGTGTCTTGGGGGCTTCAAGAGGTCATTGCAGGATAATAATAAGAGCAGATGTTTAGAAATTGAAAGTTTGCCCTGTAAAAGGTCTGAGCCGGAGGGAGATCACATCCACAACACAAGGCAATGTAGAGCAAAATGGCTTTATTGCATTGCGGCTGAGCCGAAAAAAGTTCAGCCTCCAATTAGGGTTGGGGTGTCGGTTATATACCCTACTTTTAGCTTGTGGCAGTTCCTGCTTATATACTTTATCTGGCCCATTGTCCACCTTGTAATAGGGCTGGTCTGGTATCTCGTCTGGCATCTCCTGGGTTATCATTGCCTTGGGGATAACCCAAATAAACCTTAGCTTTACTCAACAGAAGGCTAAGCAAAGGTCATGCAAGCAACACAATTTCCGCCTTTTGCAAACTTTTACCTTTACCTTATATGATTCTCAACCTGTGGGTCACAACCCCTTTGGGGGTTGAACGACCTTTTCACAGGGGTCATTTAAAACCATCAGAAAACACATATTTCCTATGGTGATTCATAACAGTAGCATAATTACAGTTATGAAGTAGCAATGAAAATAATTTTATGGTTGGGGGTCACCACAACATGAGGAACTGTATTAAAGGGTTGTGGCATTAGGAAGGTTGAGAACCACTGTTTTAAAACATTAGTAACCCTTTCACCCTGCCCTATAGATAGGTTATAAAAAGTTATTTTTGGTAAAATCTCTTATATGGGCAAGGCCCCTAATTAAAATTCTTTAAAGGAAAGGTAAAAGTTTTTCATGAGCCTGTAGGGTCTTTATTGCCTTCAACTCAAAATAATTCACATGCCAAAGTGGCATACTTTGGGGAGGCCTCGTCTGAACCCCTACACTATCCTACACATGTTGGGCTTGGGAGAAACTTTAGAGATCATCCACTCATATACAAGGGAATCAAGGTAAGAGAGGGGAAATGATTCACCCATTCACACAGATGAAGTCACAAAACTGGGACTAGATCTCAGTCCATGACACTGCCTATCAGTTCACCCATTTAATTTCCATGATTCTGAAGACACTCAGTTCCAAATGTGCCTGTGTACCTTTGGTCTGTGTGATATCAACATTAAATCTGCTTAAGCCGCATTTTTGGCAAAGTTAGTTCTCACTCCTTTGGATCCTTAAGTATGCTCAGGTCTGCCTGCCCACCCAACATTCTTGGTGCGCTCTTATGTGTATTACAGTCATATCACAGCTGTGTGCAGCGTATATGTGTATCTGTTCTAAGTTGAAGGATGTGTGTCAACATGAGGTTGTTGGTTTTGTGTCTATGTACTTGTTTGGTGCCTTCGGATAATTGTGATTCTGTACGTGCTTGTGTATATGTTAAAATTATGGGTCTATGGGCTGCTGTGTACCTATCTATGTCTCTTTCATGTTGAAAGTTGCATGTCTGAAGACCATTGTGTGCCCATCTGGATGTGTGTTTGTACACAGTAAAGACTGTAGGTAAATGTGTGTTTGTACACAGTAAATGGGTGAATCATTTCCCCCTCTCTTACCTTGATTCCCTTGTATATGAGTGAATGATCTCTAAGGTTCCTCCCAAGCCCAACATGTGTAGGATAGTGTAGGGGTTCAGACGAGTCCTCCCCATAGCACGCCACTTTGGCATGTGAATTATTTTGAGTTGAAGGCAATAAAGACCCAGCATATTTAAAGGCTGATGGGAACCTGTCTTTGCCTTTTATCCCCGGATTATGAGGAAATGTGTGTAGCTGTGTGTCCAGGACAGGAATGCTTGTGCCTCACCCACGCTCAGCTCTCACCCAGAAACTGGGGTTACATCTTGCTCTGGGGTGTTTAGGCACTGCTTTCCCAGGAGGCCCCGCTTCCTTCTCCCGGGAGCAAAAGCCCCTGGGCCTTGGCCCGCGGTTCCAGGCTGGCCCTGCCCACCTCCCGCCCCTCCAGCCCCCTCATTGGCTCGGTCTGTGGTGACGTCACAGAGATCGCAGCTAGAACCCCCAGCGCCCGACTCCCGGGAGGTGTTGTCCATCACCCCGGCTTTGTTATCCTGTCGCTTCCTCACCTGGCCACAGGCACCTCCTGACCTGTAGCCCAGAGCCGGGTGCCAGCAGCCGCGCCACCGCCGCCATGGTGTCCCCGGTCACCGTGGTGAGTGAACAGCCAGCGAGCGAGCCAGTGCTCTGCGCGGCCGAAGCCCCCCGGCCTGGGGCTGCACTGCCGCGGCCAAGCCACTGGGGCCGAGGAGGGGCGGGAGCCGGTGGAGGCTGCGTCCCCGGCCGGAGGCGGTCGCTGTCAAGGCCTGCCCACTGCCAGACCCGCGGCGCCCTTCCTCCGCGCCCCCGGCCCGTCCGTGCGGGGAGGGACGCAGTGGGCACGTGACTTGGAAGCGTGACTTTGTTGATTTCTGTGTGTCTGGCGCGAGTGTGAGGGATTGCTGCTAGGTACAGCAAGGGTACAGGAGCTTGCTAGCGGGTTCTGCGTGGGCAGACTACAGGAAGGCATGGGAGAGGGCGAAGCATGGCAGGAGGGTGACTGACTGGGCCCTCCTGGGAATCCTGTCCCAAATTTGTTTCCTCCTCTTCCTCATTTTATAAACAAGTTTGGGGAGAGGGGACGCCCCTGAGTCTAAGCATCGTTGATAACACGCTGCAGGAAGAGGGGTCATTCTCTATTGACACCTCTTCCTGTTCCTACTTTCTCAAATCTAACCTTTATCTCTTTACCCATCTTTCCTCTAGTGACTGAGTTCTCTGTGACTGTCAGAGTCTCCCCAGTTCTACTGCCTACTTCTTCCGGGAAATATGGGGCTGGGGGAGGGGTATGGAGCAGATTCTGATGCTTCCAAGGGCTGGGTGCTGGGGAGATCTGGGAACAGTGGGGGCTCTTCATCTGTCTCCTTCTCTGCCTGTGCCCTGCCCTGCCCAGCCTGGACCGGAGATCTCCAGAGGAAGGGACTTAAACATCTTTTCTCCGTGCTCTCAACCTGGCAGAGCCAGGGCAGGCTTAGACTTTGGACCCACTCATCTTCCTCTTCCCAACCTCCTTCATCACAGTCTGATCAGTCCCCAGGTAACTGGTGGTCTAGGAATCTGAGTGTGTCCCCTGAGCCCTGTGCTGGACAGCTCACCCAGACAGAGGCCCAATGACTTTGGGCAGAGTATGGTATACAGGGTACCTCTGAATAGTTCTTAGAGAAATAGTACTAGAAGCCCAAGGAAAGGAGTTTGGGGGGCTCACGTATTTAGACTATCTGCAGCAGCTCCCCTCCCTCAGCTTGGAGAGTGCCTGCAGTGACCTTGGACACAACCTTTCTTTAGCTGCCTTCTCTCCCTAATCCTGCTGAGACCAAGTCAGCTGCTCTAACTTCCCCCTCTTAGTTCCTCATCTCCTCCTAGCCAGTCTGCTGGCTTCATATCAAAAGCCGGTAAGAGAACCCCCACCCCTTCCTGACTCTCTTTCTGATGTGCCTTGAGTTGCTCTTGTTCTCTGGGAAATGAGACTGACACCCCACTCCAACCTCCAGATCCCTGAAATTGCTGGACAGTTTTGCTCCCAATTCATGAGACCATTTCTTTAGCCAGTGTCTTTATCTCCTCTCCTTACCCATGCTGGTTACCTTTACCCTGGGACAGCTGGAATGGAGGCTGAGGAGCAGATTGGCTGAGGAGAGCCTGTGGGGCCTGAGGTGGTTGGCAGTGCACCATGTCCCACATTGCTAGCACTCAATTGGTGTTACCAGGACCATAAGCCTGTGCCCTGGCCCCACTGCTGAGAATCATGAGTTGGCCAGTTCTGGTATGGGCTGTGGTTTCCTGCTGACTGCATTCCGACAGCTGAGGGCTGATGCTTTCAGAGAGGGGCTAAAGGAGCTTTGGGGAAGGACAAGGAGGGAGGCAGGAAAGGAGAAACATTTGGGTTGCAGGAGAGAACATTATCCCAAGATCTGTTTTCTGCCCAGTGAGTGACTATTCTGGTCCTGCCCCAGGGTCAAGAATGGATATGACCAGCAGGAATAGTGGAGCCCTTCCCCTTCTTAATGAATTAAGCCTCAGGGTAGTGGTGGATTTGTTCACATTCTGCTGGCTGGGGGGGGCAGGCCAAACTGGTTTCTTTGTGTCAATCCAACACACTTGGGAGGAGGGCCTGTCTATGGGGTGAAGGTCTGGGCTGAAAGTGCTGGCTCTGAGCTCTCCTATGGCCTTCTGAACTTTCAGGCTCTGAGTGCTGCCCTTGTCCTATGTCCTCCAGGTGAAGATTGAGGGACCCAAGCTGGTGCCCTTCTTCAAGGCCACCTGCATATATTTTGTGCTCTGGCTGCCCTCGTCCAACCCATCTTGGTTCAGCGCCCTCATCAAGTGCCTGCCTGTCATCTGCCTCTGGCTCTTCCTTCTGGCCCATGGCCTAGGATTCCTGCTGGCCCACCCCAGTGCCACCCGCATCTTTGTGGGGCTCGTCTTCTCCACCCTAGGTGATGCCTTCCTCATCTGGCAGGACCAGGGCTACTTTGTGCACGGTCAGTTGCTATAAGTAGCTACCTGGGAAGAATCCTGGGGTTGGGGGCTAGAGAGTTCTAGAGGGCCAAGGATTTGGGAGCCTTGGAACAAAAATATGGAGAATCTGAGGGGTTCTGAGACCAATAACTGTGGGGCCCCTGTTGGAGGATGACCTTCCTGGTGATCTGGTGATCAGTTCTGGAGTTCCTCAGGGGAGTTGGGCCAAAGGGTGGGGGTGGGGGGTCTTTACCTTTGTGGATTTCTTCCCACCGGTTCCTCCTAAAACAAAGGTCCTGGGTTATCCCAAACACTCCATTCCCACTCCCAGCCCGTTACTTATCACCCACCTGAGCCTGCCCTCAGTGGCCCCTCATTCTCTCACTCCCAGGTCTACTGATGTTTGCTGTGACCCACATGCTTTACGCCTCAGCCTTTGGCAGGCGGCCATGGGCTCTTCGGACAGGTCTGGTGATGGCAGTGCTGTCCTGCCTGTTCTATGCCTTCCTCTACCCGGGCCTCTCCGGTGCCTTCACGTACTTGGTGGGGATCTATGTGTTCATTATCAGCTTCATGAGCTGGCTGGCTATAGGGCCCTGGCCGGTTGGGGCAGCCTGGCGCTGGACTGAGCTGGCAGCAGCCAGCGGTGCAGTACTCTTTATGGTCTCAGACATGATCCTCGCCATCAACAAGTTTCGCTTTCCCGTGCCCTACTCGCGGGCACTCATCATGTCCACCTACTATGCTGCCCAGATGCTCATTGCCCTGTCAGCTGTTGAGAACCGGGAGCCAGCAGAAGACTACAGACTGAGCAAAGCCAACTGAAGGGCTAGGGTCTGGTCACCTGTCCTCTCCTGGGACTGGGGTCCAGAGCCTGGGAACCTGCAAGAGCTGGTTCAGGATGGCTGCAGTTTCAGACTGAGGCAGCGGGTACCACCTGGAAAATGTACAAGTTTGAGGGGGTGAGCAGGCAAGGATCTCTCTAGCAAAGCTAGTGGTTCCGGACAATGCTGAGAGCTAAAAAGAGCCAGATTAATAATGCTCCTTGCTGGAGCCAGAAGTAGACATCTCCCCACCTCTACCCCACTGGGATTGTCAAAGCCCCTCTGGATGATGATGGTGCTCAGCTTCTTGACCTCCCCACTCTTCTACTATATGGAAGAGTCTAGGTCACCCACTTCCACTCTTTTTGATCTATGTAGAGTTAAGGGGGAGGGGAGAAATGTGTTAGGGTTTGAAGCCCCTTTCAAAGGCCCCTAGTTAGGAAGATTGGATGAAGGTAGACGCTCTCTTTACCTCATCTATCCTTGTTACTTGAACAATCTCAATCTCTATGTGGTGGGTAGGAAGGTGTCTGTCCGAGAAGGCAAGAGATGGGGATTCTTTGGCCTGGGAGCTTGGGGTATCAAGGATTCAAGTTGGTCCCATCTTTCTCAAAGGACAGCCCAGAGCTCAGACCCCACATCACCGCCCTCAGATCCTATCCCCAGATCTAGGGTGAACCATGCCAAAGGAAGGGGCTAGCCTGTGTGTGTCCATGTGTATAGTCTGTCTCCCAGCCTTTGTCTTTCTCTGCCATCTGTCTCTGTTCTGCTGTCTGTTAGTTATAGGGAGAGGCCTCAGGGAGCTGCTGAAGGGATGCTGAGCCTGGCTTGGAGAGCTGGGAGCCCCCTACCCCCCTAGTTCTTTCCTCCCTACCACTCCTGCACTGGGAGAAAGAGGAGGGGGGCTCAAATGACACTCTAGGGTCATAAGACCCAAGGCACATTCAATGCAAGGTGAGAAAGGATGAGACAACTCCATCCTTTACTGTTCATATGAAAAAATGGAAATAAAAACCAAGGGCCATTGGCTGCCCTGCCTGTCTGTCTGTGTGGCACATGCCTATTCTGGAGAGGAGGGTGTGGGGGCATGGAGCCAGGGGCCCTGGATGTCCTCACAGCCTGGGTCACAGCACTGACCAGTGCATCTTGGTGCCAGGCTGTCTCCCTGGCTCTGGTAACGCTGCTGGTTGGAATGGGTCTCACTTCCCTGGTCACATGTGTGGGAGAGGATGTAGTTCAGGAAGGTGGGGGATGGGTAGTATTTGCCACTGTCCATCTCCTTGATCACTCGCCTGTGCATGGGTGCCCAGCACCTGTGGTGATTCTGAGTTACCCAGTGTCCTCCTGCTGCCCACCTCCTCCCTGCCTCACCCCAGACCTGCTACCTGCTCCAAAATGATCCAGATTCCCTTCAGCCATTTTTTCTCTTCTCAGACTCAGGGCTCAGTTGAACAGCTGGGAGGGATGGGATTAAACTGGGTGATTCATACTTTTGATGTGAAGTCCTGGCAGAATTATGCATCCCTCATACTCCAGGGACATTTGCATCTTAATAGACAGTGCTCTGACCCAGAATTTGAGAGGGAAGCCTTGGGTGTGTTGAATATGCCATTAGTAGTGGGGTTGTACAGCTGGGACAGGACAGAAGAGATGCAGGTTCCTTGTGGGTATTGAATGAATCAGCAATTTTCAAAAAACGGTTTTTACAGAAGTCTCTGGTGAGAGATAGCAAAAGAATAGAGGAGGGAGGCTCAAAGATCCCTATCCTTGCTTTTTAAGGGAAGGATTCCACTGCAAAAACATAAGTTTGAGCCCGGCTGGGGTGGCTCAGTGGACTGAGTGTTGTCCCATGGACCGAGAGGTCTCAGTCTGATTCCCGGTCCTGGTTGGATTCCTGGTCCCAGTTCGATTCCCGGTCAGGACACATGCCTGGGTTGCAGGCTCGGTCCCCAGTAGGGGGCATGCAGGAGGCAGCCGATTGATATTTCTCACATCAATGTTTCTCTCTCCCTCTCTCTAAAAAATCAATAAAAACATATTTAAAAACCAAAAAAAAAAAAAAAAAAAACCCGAAAAAGTTTGAAATCTAGAACTGGATCCTTTCTAGCTCTGAGATGCTTTAGTTCTCAAACACTGGGAACCCTGGACACTACAGAGGCGAGGTCCCAATGCCTTCAAAGCCCAGGACTCTGATGACAGACCTACCTGGTGTAAATGGGGAAGGATGATCAGACAAGACTTGCCCACCTATGCCCTGAGGAGGAGATGGTGCAGTGTGGCTATGGGGAAGGGGAAGGCAAAGGCCCAGTCAAAAGGGGGCTAGTCACCCCCTATAAGGGTGGGTTTGGACTAGGTTCTCAGCAGTCTGGGTGGTGCGAATGCACACTCCACTTCCAGTTCCATCTCCTCGGTCCCTACCGTACACCAGCTGTTCAGCACCCTCAGGAGCAGGAAAGGGTGAGCTTGTTCTCACTTTATTGTCCCATCCCTTCAATTAATGTTTACAGTGACAAACACCAGAGAGCAAACTGGGCTTCCCTTACTGGGCCATGCAGATGGACAGGCCAAGAGGCCTCACATCACACATCCTGATGCCGGGACTGGGCTGGAGCTTACATAAGGTACTTTGATTTCTTCTGCAGACTCTCGGTGACTGATGCTAGAATTGACTTGTCATCTTTGTCTGGAAGAGCAAAGCAAGTATATGTTAGTTTTAGTGATGCCAGGGGTAAGGGAAACTCCACAGTGCTTATAGTTACTATGCAGAAACCAGGGGTTGGACCCTGCCTGGGATCCTCCATTCTTCCCTGGGGCTGGGCCCTAGCTCCAGTCTTCCAACGTCAGCTGAGTGTGTGTAGCCAAGAGCTGCCAGTTATTCAGCACTTAATATTTGCCAGGCATTGTGCCAGGCACTTCCGTGCACTATTTCAGTTAAGCCTCACAACAGTCCTAAGAAGTAGATAAGAAGATAGGCTCAGGGTGGCTTGCCAAGGTCACACGGCTGGTCAGTGGTACAGCCAGGCCCCTGAGCCCATGTGCTGAACCAGAATTAGTTGTCAGGGATCTCTCCAGATGTGGTGTGAAAGCCAGATATCTCCCACAGTGCCTTTCCTGGTCTAGTTCTGTCGCACAGCTCAACAGCCACTCTGAAGACATCGTCTCGGTGTGCTAGGCACTTAGCTGACTGGAGAGACAGAGCAAGAGGACATAGTCCTTTCCCCAAGGAAAGGCATCTATAATGGGATTAAAAGGCCTGTAACTGTGGAGACCAGGGATACCAATGGGATGCTATGGAGAGTTCAGGGAGAGGCACTGGATGAAGCTTGGAGAGGTAGTTATGGTGGGGGAGGAACCTTGTTGGTGGAGAGGTTATCAACAGGATCATGGGAAGGCTAGGAGGGAGTTTAGCAAGAGGGAACAAAGATCAGCTTTGCATTTAGAGTTCATGCTTTTGTCCCCTTTATTGATTTTTAGAGACTAGTTGTGTAGCTGTGAAGAGAGTAGATTGTGTAGGAAGGAATAAAAGATTTCCCATACATGTGCACATATGAGCAGAGCAGGGGCCTCCACTGGCTCCCTTCAGTCCTCCCCTCATTTGTGCTTCCCATCTGTGCTTATCCTAGATTAGTAGTTCTCAACCTTGAATCACTTGCAAAAATCTGTAACATGAAAATTCCTTCCATGACCCTGCCAGAGCGACTCTGATTGGTGAGTCTGGTTTAGGCCTGTTCAGTGTTTTTCAAGGCAAATCTAGGCCTACTGAGGGCTGCAAACTAGTCTGCTGAGGGTTAGCAAATTTCCACATCTGCAGGGCCCAGGCACATAACAAGTGACATTGAGGGTGGAGAGTGGTACCACTATGGACAATGTTTACACCTCCTGATGGCAGATTAAATACAGAATGTTGCCAGCCGCACGAAGAGAGTCAACAACCCACAAGCCCGACATTTCATGCCTCTGCCCCAGACGGGAAGCAACCTGTCTCCCACGCCCGCCCACCCCAGGCTCAGTCCCACAGCACTCTCACCATAGACGGTGAGTGTGCAGCTACTGCGGTCCTTGCCCAGCTCGTTCTCCACCAGCACACTGTACTCGCCGCTGTCCTTGAGCGTGCAGGTGGGGATGACGATTGTGCATACACCACTGGTGGAGTTGTACCAGAACTTGGAGTTGGCCGTGATGTTAACATCGCCCTTGTAGAGAGTCACCGTGGGCCGCGGGTTCCCAAGGAAGGCACAGGTCATAGTGCAGTCCTGGCCACGCAGCACTGTGTGTGGCTTAAGTGGAGTCAGGAAGCGTGGCGCATGGCGCCAGTCCTTCTTCTCATAAGGCTTCAGCTTGGCACTCAGGTCCTCAACTGCGTGGGTGGGATGCAGAGGCTGTGAGCACCTCGGGGGCCCTACTACCACTCGCCATCTTAGTGCTTGGAAGCGCCCTTGAGATCCAGCTCATGGAATCCCGGTGACCTGAGATTCCCAGATGCCACCAACTCTGGGGACTGACTTTTCACTTGTTCCTAAAGTTCCCATTCCGCCCCCTCTCACCTGCCTTGCCACTTAGGGTTCCACGACCTAAGACAGGTCTACAGGGTTTTATGCTTTTCCAGACCCTGGAGTCCTAGACTTCTTTCCAGCCACCAGTTTCCCTGACCCAGAGCTGCTATCCTGCTTTCAACCCCCCTGGAAGCTCTCCTCGGTGTCCTCCCAGCCTCCACGGTCCCAACTCTCTCCTCCTGAGTCCTGCGTTTCACATTTCCCGACACTCTCCCCACCCTTAGCCCCTCCCTCCACAGATGCTGGACTCCATGCCCACTCCCTGCTCCTTGGAGACCCTTTCCAGTCCTCGCCACCTTCAGCCCCTGAGCTGAGAGAGGACCACTCTCACTACACCCGCCCCTCCCCTCCGGACCGACACCGTCCCCTGTCCCCAAAGACACCTCCCACCTCCACCTCGCTCCCACCCCTCAGTATACCCCAAAGGCTTCCTGACCTTTACTTCTCTGCCCAGGTTCCCAACGTTCCCCCTCCCACCTCAGTGGTTCTCTGATTTTACCTCAAATCCTGCGTACCCCTAGCAACCCTTGTATGATCCCCAGCATCAGGGATCTCAGACATAACCTGAACCCCAACACCCTGACTCACTCTTGTCCTTGTTGATGAGCCATGTGTCCTTGGAGTCCAGCGGGTCACTGTCACCGATTTCATTCCGGGCCAACACTCGGAAGTAGTACTTCCTGCCAGGGAGCAGCCCGGTCACCGTGTACTTGTTGCTGAAGACGCGCTCTGCAGCTGTGAACCAGGTGGCGGTGCTGGCATCGCGTTTCAGGATGACGTAGTGGGCCTCGCCGTCCTCCTGCACGTCGGGGCTGTGGTTCCAATGCAGGGTCACCGTGTTGGGAACCTCCTCGAATAGCTGCAGGTTTGTGGGTGGCCGTGGGAAATCTGGAACAATCAGAGGGTCCATCAGCACCCTGCCCCCACCCCAGCCACCCGTCAAGACCGGTCTCTGGTAGCTCGTGTCTTAAAGTCAGAAAGATCTGTTTCTGAAGTGTAGCTCCCATTTATACCAGCCTGGTGAACTTGGCAAATTATTTATTTTTTCTGAGACCCAATTCTTTATTTGCAAAATAGGGCTAATAACTATTAGAGAAATTTGGCTGAAGTGCCTGCAGGTAGTAACTGTTCAATAAAAGTTTATCCTTTCATCTTTGGGGGGAGGGTGACTAGGGCTTTATTTAAAGCTCCCAGCCCTCTCTAAGAGGTCACCCCAATTTATTTATTTCTGTTAACCCTCACCAGAGGATATTTTTCCATTGATTTTTTTTAGATAGAGTGGAAGGGGAGGGAGGGAGGGAGAGAGAAACTTCCATGTGAGAGAGACACATTCATTGGTTGCCTCTCCCATGAACCGACTGGGGCCAGCAATTGAACCTGCAACCCGTTGGTCCAGGGGCTGACCTTCTAACTGCTGAGCCAAACTGGCCAGGGCGAGGTCACCCCAACTTTTAATGGATTATCTTCACCTGTCCTTTTTTTTTTATCCTCACCCAGGACATTTTTGCATTTATCTTCAGATAGAGTGGGAGGAAGAGAAGGAGGAAGAGAGAGAGAGAGAAACATCTATGTGAGAGAGACATATTGAGTGGTTACCACCCACATGACCCCAACCGGGGCCGGGGACAAACTGCAATTGAGGTACGTGCCCTTAGCGGGAACTGAACCCAAGACTCTCTGATCTGCTGGCCGACACTCTAACCACTAAGCCAAACCGGCCAGGGCCACCTGTTCTTTCTGCCTGTCACCCATTCTCTGCTCTTTTTTTCTGGACCTACTCTACATATGTCCTGAAGCTCACCAGATGTGACTGCAGAAACTGAAACAAGGGCTTGGTCCTAGGTCAATGCCCTGGGGCTTCAGGGCAGAAAGAAAAAGTGGAAACCACCCTCCCCATTAAGGCAAAGGCTGATAGTCTTTCTCTGTGGCACTAAAGAAGTCTTCACTACCTTCAGGCATGACTTTATAGTGGTGGGAACTCAAGCAGCAGAGGGAGCTGTATTTTGGAGAGTGTGCAGGGATGCTCTGAGGCCTCTGCCACCGCCATACCTGCCACTCGTACATGGATGTCATAGTGTGCCTCTCCAAATTCATTCTGGAGCAAGATGCGGTACACCCCCGAATCAGAGCGCTTGGTGCTGTTGATGAGGAACTGGGAGTGGTTTTTGCCCTTGGTGATGGTTTCCCTGCCCTTGGTGGGGATGCCATCTTTCTGCCAGATCACGTTGGGTGGTGGTGAGCCCTGGTGGTGACAGGAGATGGCACCAGGGGTCACCA